AGCAAAGCTCCCATCCACGTCTATGGGGCTAGGATTTCACCCAGGGTCCTGTCTGTTGGGTAGCCTCAGGGTTGAGTTCACCAATAAACCCTCCAGTGAAGGTGAAGAGTAGAGATGGTCATAAAATGTGGTGGTGATGGGTGAGGGGTTCCCATTTTTTATTAACATTTTCCGTGGTACATTTTTAAAAAATCAAAGCCCCAAAATGTCTAATCATGGTGCATCATTGGAGTTGTATTTCAGGGGCCTCATGCCATTATGGGAACACAGGATTGGAAGGGCCGTACTGGGTCATGGAGTCCAGTTCCTGCTATCCCAGGTAGCCCCATTGTATCATCCCATCCATAAACTTATCAAGCTCCATCTGCATCCTTGTTAGGTTATTCCCCTCCCCTCCCTAACTGCTTCCTTTGGAGGTTGTTCCAGAACCTCCCACCTCTGATGGTTAGAAACCTTCTCCTCACCTCCAGCCTCCATTTATTCCCATTTGATTTGTCCTTTGGATTCAACAGCTCACCTCCCTCCCTGGTGTCCCCCCCCCGATATATTTATAGAGCAATCAGACCCCGTTCCGCCTGTGTTTTAGGCTAACCTAGCCCAGTATTTTATTCCCCTCTCATAAGACCGTCTCTCCATTCCCCCGATTGTCCCACCAGCCCTTCTCGACCCCTGCTCCAGCTGAGATTCCTCTTTCTGGGACAGGGCTGCCCAGAACTCTGCACCGGATTCCAGCTGAGCTCTGCCCAGAGCCTTCTCCTCCGGCATTAAACCCTCCCTCTCTCTACTGAGACACTTCGGCTGCTCCATCCCAGGATTGCATTGACCTTTCTCCTGGCCTTGGCCCACTGGTGGCCCATAGTCATCCTGCGATTGACAGGCACACCCCGGTCTCCCTTCCCCTCTGTTGCTTCCAGTTCATAAGCCCCCAGCTCAGAGCAGCAATTTTCTTGTTTCTTGTCCCTATGTGCATGAACTCACGTTAAATTTCAGCCCGTTTCCACCAGCACCTTGCACAAGGACACTAACACTGGAGATACCTCTCTGGAGATGTCCTAGGTGCTGGTCTCCCTGGTTGGGCTGCATCTCCAATGATGCACCATGGGCTCCCTTCTTGGGGAAGTGGAGCATGGGAGGGGCACGGCCATACTGGTTTCCACCAGCTCCTTCCCCTGGAGCAGCTTGCTGTACCCCAGCGGCTCTGGGTTGGTGGGGAATATTTACCTGGAAGGCTGATTTATTTGCCTGAGGGCTGCCGGCGCACAGCATGGTGATGGGGTTGTAATGCCGGTACCGTTCTCCGCACAGGCTGTCCAACACCACCTCCTGCTCCGCCTCATGCAGCCTGTCGGTGGTGGTGTTCACTCCGGTCCGACCCCACCCGGCCACGCTGCACTTGGAGCCTGGGCTGACGTGGTGATTAGCCTCTGGCAGGGGGACAAGCCCTACCCACTTGGTCAGCTCTGCGTTGTGCCACAGCTGCCATGGGCAAGAGACAGAGAAAATGGACCCAGATCAGCACCAGTATTGGTGCTGGCAAGGGGCAGCACCACCAGGCCAGGGCATGGATGTGAATCCAGGGAGTGAGTGTGGGGTCACTGGGGGTACGGTGATGGGATGGGGGTGCTACCTGCAGCAGTGTGAGGACACTGGGGGTGGGGTGATGGGATGAGGGGGTTACCCTAGCAGTGTGAGGTCACTGGGGGCAGGGCAATGGGATGGGGCAGTGCCTGCAGTAGTGTGAGGTCACTGAGGATGGGGTTATGGGATGGGGCGGTACTTGCAGCAGTGTGAGGTCAGTGGGGACAGGGCAATGGGTTGGGGGTGGTGCCTGCAGCAGTGTGAGGTCACTGGGGGCCGGCTGATGGGATGGGGGTAGTACCCTAGCCGAATGAGGTCACTGGTGGCAGTACCTTCAGCAGCATGATGTCATTGTCAAAGTTCTCATTGTTGAAGTCGGGGTGCTGGACCCAGCGACGGGCACGGATCCGTTGCCACTTCTGTCCTGGCTTCATGAAGTCTTGGACTCCCAGGTAGACAAAGATGTTGCTGGAAAAGCCAAGGGGAGAATACGGGGGTGTTAGTGCCCTTTGGACAGTGGGGTTGGGCCGTCACAGTCCCTCAAATAGGGACACCAACCCTGCACCTGGCCTGTGCAAATTTCTATCTATAGTTGTGCAACTGAGTAACACAGAGACCCTCTTATTCACCTATATGTGGATGGACTTCCTCCTTCTCCCCTCTGGTTGGCTAAAGAGATCCCCAAAGACTGACCGACGAACTGTTCTTTTATGCAGGCTGACCCATCGTCCAGTTCTTGTGTCCATGATTCAAAAAGGATGTAGATAAATTGGGGAGGGGTCAGAGAAGAGCCACGAGAAGGGTCAAAAGATTGGAAAGCCTGCCTTATACTGAGAAATTCAAGATCAATTGGTTTCTTATTCAGAGGGACTATAAAAGATTCTGTTTGTTTTTCTTTCTCAATTATTGTTGATTGGTCTGAATTATTAACAGTGACTGTAACTAACCACTGGGAGAATTTAAAAGGTCATCATGGATTCTCCATCACTGACAATTTTTAAACAAGGTTGGATTTTTTAAAGAACTGCTGTAGATCAAAAGAAACTATTTGGGGGACGTTCTCTGGTCTGTCTTATACAGGAGGTCACACAAGATGATCCCAATGATCTTGGAATCTCTGAATCATTGAACAGCATATGGCAGAAGAAGGAAAATACCCATGGGAAGGTCTAAGGACCTCACCTGGGTGTAACTTTGAAATATTAAAGGAAATTTCTTAAAGTGGGGGAATCCCAGATGCCTAGGCTGGGCAGACACAGAAATAAGGTCGCTGGAGTGAATGAAACATACAAATAAGAAAAGGATCAAACAATATTTTATGCACCGTCGCCATCTACTGGGTATGGCTGGAAGTAGGAATAAGCCCAGATCTGCAGATGACCCTGGAGAGAGAGGTCATTATGTGGGATGAAAGAGCTTGCTGAGTGCATCAGAGAAGATGTTGAAGTCCAGAAGGGTTCCCGGATGCTTAGCCCAGCACCTCTGCACAGCCCCTTCCCTTGTGAGACTTCATGGCAGAGATTGAATCTCTTCATCTTTCTTTAATCTCAATATCTGGGTGTTCCCCTGTTGTCTCT